AAGCGAAGGTGTCATAGTCAACAATTAAACGCGATCAGATTCGAAAAGATGGTGTCGGATGAACCATCTCCAGCCGACCTTTTCCACGAACTTAACGAAGCTCCATTTACACCTGGAGACAGGTGGATGACCAATTGGGAAACTGTGATGTAAGATCTATCCAATTGACAAGGAGCCGATCGCAAAAACCCTATAAAAACGCAAAAATCAAGGACAACGAAACTTCCACTAAGACTTTTCCACCTAGACTACCTGTTGTGTTCGTTTGTCGACTGCTGTTGTGTTTCCTTTCATCTTTTGTGTGCTGTCACTTCAGATCTCGAACTTCTCACTCGACGCAGTCACGGGGCCCCTCCAGCGTAGGACCAGATCGACACCGAAAACAAGTTACGAAGACAACCCGAAGTTCTGAACTTAAGGACCTTTGCCAACAAAAATTATGTAAGCATTATCGTCCGGAATAAACGGTTTACCTTTGTAAACACTTGTCTTTGCTGCCTATAAAAACCGCCACCCACATACGCTAAGACCTTAGACCATCCCGATGGTAGGGAATAAAAATNACTTAGATTTGTATGATAAAGGTGCGTGAGGAATACGGGAGAATATCGTCACGAAATTGTCCTTTGTTTCTATAGTCACTATAAAACATATCAAAACTCTATCTAAAATATCCAGACAATAACCTCAATATGCGAGTAGTTAAATGACCGTGGATACATACAGGTTATTGGACAATATATTTTTATATAATTCAACGGAAGAAAGTTGTTTTTATGTAAAGGAGAATCCAGGAATATATTGTATTTTTCTTCGATCGACAAAATATAGTTTATAATAATAATTAAATATCTAATATTTTATTTAAAAATTTTTTTAAATTTAACGAAACTAATTTTATTGGTATTTTTTATTACAAAGTTTAAAATATTTTTATTAAATTTAAAGAAGAAAATAATATAAAATATGTTTATGAAGAACTGCAACTTTTAGTTAATGGTATGAGAGGATTAAATTGTATTTTCAAAATGAAACTGCTATCGTAAAGGATCCGATTCGGATCTTTTTCGGTCTTATAATTTTCAATTGATAATTCAGAAAAAAGGTTCCTACCCTACAATTGAAATGAACTTTTTGTATGTCAAGCTCTCCAACAATAGACAAAATCTATCTTTTTCAGCAGAGAGTTTTAGGATGAGGACGTGAAAATCTTGCGAACATGAACTGCCAACAATAAACTGATGAAATCCTTGTAGATGATAAAATTGTTTTGAAAACACTATATATACAAGTATAAGTGTTCACTGAAAAATATGGATAGTAAATTTTAAAAGAAAAAATTCGGAGAGTTCGGCTTAAACTGAATACATAGTAATTCTATGGTTGGAAAGCTGAAAATCTAATAGATGAGGAATAGAAAATTTTTCGTGATTCTCTACTTTCAAAATAATTTATATTAAAGTATATAATGTATTTCTATTAATTTTGTGTAGTTACTGCAATGCTTAAATATTTAACGAATTTTTTAAAAGAAAACATAATAGTAATATAATTCTTTAATATACAGTATTATAATTTTTAAATTGTTTCTTTATTAACAAGAATTTTATTATTATTATCATTGCAAATAAAAAGGCGATATCAATAATCTTATGTTCTACATTAAATTAATTAATTAAGTTTACTTGTTTCTACAAAATTACAAAATAAATTGTGATGACTCATCTTTTTCTTCACATATGTTTATCAAATAATATTTCAATTTACGTTATTACAAACCATTTTTTAAATTTATCAAAATGATTATACTTTTCCTAATTACATCAAAATATTAAATGATAATATATTTTTCTGTAAAATAAATAAGAAAAATTGATTTATTAAAATTAGAATTAAATGTTCTGCACTAAAATATTTAACAAATTTAATATTTAAAATGTATTTTAAGCAAAAATGAAATAAAAAACAAGAAAATTAATTAATTCCAACATATTTGCATAAAAGGGTGGCATCATGCGATTTTACAAAATACAATTTATTTTTTCTCTGTTTTATGCACGATATTTTGACTAAGTAATAGTTTTAAAAAATTACATTTTATAAAAATAAATCAGAAAATCATTTTCATATTTTAATAATAGTTTCTAAGTCAACAAACCAAGAAATTTAAACGTTTAGATATTGATTTCTGATGTTTTAAATTTTGTAAGTTTGAAATATTACAAGAAGTGAAAACAAAAATTTCTTTTACTAAACCATAATGTTATAGGACAATGTTTTATGACTATTTTCTCAATTTGTTATCATTTATTTAGTATTTTGGCTAAAGTCTTTTTATCGTTTTCTCATTTCCTCTCCTTATCTATACACATGTATCGCTTCTAACAAAATTATGGCATGTGTAGAATATATGGATCACATCATATACCTCTAGATTATGAAAAAGATCCATAGATGTCGTCATCTACAGGTACATAAATTTCATATCTATGGCATATATTGCCGTAAATGTGAAATTTATGTATTACTACTACAAATATACTGAAATTGGAATGAATTGGATATAGATAAGATCTATTCCAGTTTTATTTTTTGGAGAACTATTTATTTTTTTTTATATAAGAAATATTATTTTTCTTAAAGCAATGACATGTTTAAAGAATAGTAAATATAACAAATTAATATAAGATATTTAAAGATAAGGATTATACTAAAAAATATATTTAATATTATTTTAAAATTATTTTTGCGATTAGAATATATTAATTCTGAATTATATTATTTATTTTTATGTAATTTTTCTATTAGGTTCAGAATAAAAACATTACAGTCAACCTTTATGATTACTTCCTATTAAATAAGGAAAAACTTAGATTTGTATGATAAAGGTGCGTGAGGAATACGGGAGAATATCGTCACGAAATTGTCCTTTGTTTCTATAGTCACTATAAAACATATCAAAACTCTATCTAAAATATCCAGACAATAACCTCAATATGCGAGTAGTTAAATGACCGTGGATACATACAGGTTATTGGACAATATATTTTTATATAATTCAACGGAAGAAAGTTGTTTTTATGTAAAGGAGAATCCAGGAATATATTGTATTTTTCTTCGATCGACAAAATATAGTTTATAATAATAATTAAATATCTAATATTTTATTTAAAAATTTTTTTAAATTTAACGAAACTAATTTTATTGGTATTTTTTATTACAAAGTTTAAAATATTTTTATTAAATTTAAAGAAGAAAATAATATAAAATATGTTTATGAAGAACTGCAACTTTTAGTTAATGGTATGAGAGGATTAAATTGTATTTTCAAAATGAAACTGCTATCGTAAAGGATCCGATTCGGATCTTTTTCGGTCTTATAATTTTCAATTGATAATTCAGAAAAAAGGTTCCTACCCTACAATTGAAATGAACTTTTTGTATGTCAAGCTCTCCAACAATAGACAAAATCTATCTTTTTCAGCAGAGAGTTTTAGGATGAGGACGTGAAAATCTTGCGAACATGAACTGCCAACAATAAACTGATGAAATCCTTGTAGATGATAAAATTGTTTTGAAAACACTATATATACAAGTATAAGTGTTCACTGAAAAATATGGATAGTAAATTTTAAAAGAAAAAATTCGGAGAGTTCGGCTTAAACTGAATACATAGTAATTCTATGGTTGGAAAGCTGAAAATCTAATAGATGAGGAATAGAAAATTTTTCGTGATTCTCTACTTTCAAAATAATTTATATTAAAGTATATAATGTATTTCTATTAATTTTGTGTAGTTACTGCAATGCTTAAATATTTAACGAATTTTTTAAAAGAAAACATAATAGTAATATAATTCTTTAATATACAGTATTATAATTTTTAAATTGTTTCTTTATTAACAAGAATTTTATTATTATTATCATTGCAAATAAAAAGGCGATATCAATAATCTTATGTTCTACATTAAATTAATTAATTAAGTTTACTTGTTTCTACAAAATTACAAAATAAATTGTGATGACTCATCTTTTTCTTCACATATGTTTATCAAATAATATTTCAATTTACGTTATTACAAACCATTTTTTAAATTTATCAAAATGATTATACTTTTCCTAATTACATCAAAATATTAAATGATAATATATTTTTCTGTAAAATAAATAAGAAAAATTGATTTATTAAAATTAGAATTAAATGTTCTGCACTAAAATATTTAACAAATTTAATATTTAAAATGTATTTTAAGNACCACTAGGATGTAAAACAATGTCTTACAAAGAGCCAGGATAATTTAACCTTTAGTGAAACTACTTGGTCATAGTGACGTCGGGCAGTCAGATGGCTCCGTACAGCCCTAATCAGTACAACCGCCGATGCATAAGATAGTGGTTAACGTGTTAAAGTTATATGTATACAGGGTGATGCAGACCATACACTACTTTTAAAATTAATGGATGTGAATTTCATCAAAAATCCTAAAAATTTTGATAAGTAAATTGGGTATACTCTATCAAATGGCAATATTTTCAACAAGACGAGAATAATATTTAATTTTATTTCCAGAATTAAGCTTTAATTCAGAGACATTTTTGTTCTTTTTTGAGATCATCATCAGCTGTGAAAATTATGAAGTGTGTTAGACAAGTACAATTGAAAGAGCTTTCAAATGTATTTGTTCTAACGCACTTGAATGTAGTAGGGGACACGTGACCCGGTCCCCAAATCTACTTTGAGCAGCACTCATCTCCTCAACATCCCAAATATACACTGTACATATTACTTATTTCAAAAAAAAAATAAATGAATATCTAAAAAGTAGTGGTAGTTTTATTTGAAATTAATTTTCTGAAATTTGTCGCTAAGTGAAAACAGAAATTATGTACGTCAATAACAGATATTGTATTCATTACAAGTTGACTGTTTTACTTGGATACAGCTGTTAAATATTAAGAAATAAATATCAGTACCTGATTAGTTTGGTATGGATTTACTGCTTCTAATTTCATTCCTGGTTCCAATCCTAAGTTGATAAATTTCTGTAAAATATAAATTTTATATTAATCAATAATCAAAATTTTCATAAATTTTTCATTAATAATAATATCAATATTCAATTAAAAGAATTAAAACAATATGTTTATATTTTAAGAATACTACGAATAATTTTATTTCAAAAATCATAAAATTACTCACTCCTTTGAACAGTTCGCAAGGTGCAACTTCCGCTTTACAAAAATTAAGATATTGTTGCCAATCAAATTCTTTGTTGCCTGGATTATCTACTAATCCTGATAAAAAAAATATAATTTTTAATGAATAATATATCCTAAATTTAGTTTTGGTTCTACTACTTTAAAGTAAAAATATCAGGGAAAAAGAGAAAGGAGGAAAAAAAAAAACGATAAGCGATATCGTATAAATGGCAATTGCATTTCAATTATTCTCTTTTATGAAATTTCCTCCTCTTACATTTTTTATTTCATTTAATTTTTACTTAATTTTTGCGTAGCGTGATATCAAAAAAATTGTTCTAAACCCATTATCAAAAGAACTTTTGCTCTAGTTTACGAGTTATAAAGATAATTATTTTGGTCACGATAATCGATTTTCTTTCTCTTTTTTCTAAAAAAAATATATATTTTAGAATAATCTAACTTAGTCGGAATGATTAAAAAATCGATTAAGATGAGTCATTAACTCTTTTGAATCGCTCATCTATCCACAGACTTACTTTACTTTCTCATATCTACCGGACGGGGATAACTACAACGAAAATATTTAATTTATGAGATAATTTACTAATGGAATTATAATTTTATACCTAAAAAACTGCAAAATTTTGATTACTACCAGAATAATTTGGAGAAATTTGAAATTTTTCTGTTAATTGGTGCGTAATCAACAAGATGCTTATGAAGAATCATGATGGACTCGCTAGAAATTTCCGCTTTGCAAACATATTTACGATTGTTCCGCAGCTTAATTTTCTTCTTAATGAAGATTTAACATATACGAAAATGCAGTAATTTCAGAAAGTTTACAACACTTGCTACTTTTATAGGTTAAATCATACAATAACTCAATACGGTATATGTATGAATCTTTATGGGAATTCATATATCCGTACCTGTCTATTGAACAGAATTTCAAAATTCTATTTTAGATCTTTCAATATATCTTTTTGTCTTCAAATTTTTCCATATTGCTGTCAAATTTTCAGTCTTTTACCCTTCTTTCTAGCAAGTATACTTATGACAAAAATAAGATAAATATCTGAGTAAAGATTATCAGGAAATTCTTTAAAATTTCTATTTATATTTCTGTCATATTTTTATATAAGAAAATCTACAAAATCTGATAATGTTTAAATATGGCGAATTTATAGATTTGAAATCTAAGAACTTTCTAAAACAGTTTGTGGTTAATATAGAATTTTTTCTCATTTAAAAAATAACATTATTTTTCTTTGTTTTTATCATTCGAATAACAAACGTACTGTACTTTTATTATTAAGTTACAAAATTTTTATTCATTAATATATATTTTTTAATGCCTGAAATAAAATTCTTTATAAATTCATGATTATGAAGTCGGGTGTACTTTTTCATCGTTAAAAACTTCGTTGAATAGAAATTTTGAACTAACAACTTGAAATTTTATGAGTGAACATTATAAATTTTGAAATGTATAATTTTGTAAAAAAATAAAGAAAACATGAATAAAACAAGCAATATTTCATCATTACTATTTATTTAGCAAAGACATGAAAATACAAATTTTTCCACAGATGCTTCTTTTTTCAACCGTCATTTCAAGGTTTGACTTGATTTTTATTATTATTTGTTTTTTTGTTTTTTTTTCTATTTTAGGACAAAGAAGATTATGGAATTTGGCAAAAATCCCCTTTAAAAATGTCAACAGGTGGGGATTAATTTTATAACTAAACGCAACATTTCTCCTTCTTAATCCCAGAATCCTTCTAGGAAAGACAAATTGGTGATTTACCGAATCTCTAGCGTGGATGACTCACAACGGCTGAACAATAAGAGAATGACAGTTTTAGAAGGGGAAACATTACAATTTTCATTGTATAATCGGATTTTAAATTCTTAACTGTGCCTTCTTTGCACTCATTTTTATTCTTTCGTCAATTATGTCCACATTGGCCAATCACAGATAAGAAGATAAAAGTCTGTATTCAAAACAATGAAAAATAAAGGAATAGAAATGTGATATAAATCATTCATATATTTTAAGTCAGAAGTTTTTTCTTTTGGTTTAAAATTTACGTATTTTAGCTTACAATTTTCATATTTTTAAGCAGATTTTGTAGTCCTAAATCTGTTAATTAAGCTATGCTTTTTAAGGAATTATATTCAACACCTTTTACAATTAAACTAATTAAAAATTATTTATATTTTTTTATTTTAAAAAATATTTAATTTAAATGATATTTAAATTAACGTGAAATTTAAAAATTTTCAAACAATAATTTCTCACAGAAGACGGTTCGAGTAATCAATTAAGTAATTTTAGAGATATATATGTGCTGCCATCTGTGTGAAATAAATTCTACTAACTTTTGTAACTGTTAAAAACTGATTTTTAATTATTGAAGAATAAAATAAAGACGTTTTAAGAATATAAATTAAATAGGTTCATTAAAACTTAAATACTCGAAAAAAATTATTTTTAAATCGTCAAAACAAAATATAAAATTTTATAAAAGTTGTGGCACCATCTATGAGACTTTTAATAAATTAAAAATTATTATTATTTTGTTTATAACCGAGGAAATTAAGAAAATGTTTAAATACAATAAAAATTATTTTTAAAAAATTTTATATAAAAAAAATATAATTTTTAATGAATAATATATCCTAAATTTAGTTTTGGTTCTACTACTTTAAAGTAAAAATATCAGGGAAAAAGAGAAAGGAGGAAAAAAAAAAACGATAAGCGATATCGTATAAATGGCAATTGCATTTCAATTATTCTCTTTTATGAAATTTCCTCCTCTTACATTTTTTANTAATATATCCTAAATTTAGTTTTGGTTCTACTACTTTAAAGTAAAAATATCAGGGAAAAAGAGAAAGGAGGAAAAAAAAAAACGATAAGCGATATCGTATAAATGGCAATTGCATTTCAATTATTCTCTTTTATGAAATTTCCTCCTCTTACATTTTTTATTTCATTTAATTTTTACTTAATTTTTGCGTAGCGTGATATCAAAAAAATTGTTCTAAACCCATTATCAAAAGAACTTTTGCTCTAGTTTACGAGTTATAAAGATAATTATTTTGGTCACGATAATCGATTTTCTTTCTCTTTTTTCTAAAAAAAATATATATTTTAGAATAATCTAACTTAGTCGGAATGATTAAAAAATCGATTAAGATGAGTCATTAACTCTTTTGAATCGCTCATCTATCCACAGACTTACTTTACTTTCTCATATCTACCGGACGGGGATAACTACAACGAAAATATTTAATTTATGAGATAATTTACTAATGGAATTATAATTTTATACCTAAAAAACTGCAAAATTTTGATTACTACCAGAATAATTTGGAGAAATTTGAAATTTTTCTGTTAATTGGTGCGTAATCAACAAGATGCTTATGAAGAATCATGATGGACTCGCTAGAAATTTCCGCTTTGCAAACATATTTACGATTGTTCCGCAGCTTAATTTTCTTCTTAATGAAGATTTAACATATACGAAAATGCAGTAATTTCAGAAAGTTTACAACACTTGCTACTTTTATAGGTTAAATCATACAATAACTCAATACGGTATATGTATGAATCTTTATGGGAATTCATATATCCGTACCTGTCTATTGAACAGAATTTCAAAATTCTATTTTAGATCTTTCAATATATCTTTTTGTCTTCAAATTTTTCCATATTGCTGTCAAATTTTCAGTCTTTTACCCTTCTTTCTAGCAAGTATACTTATGACAAAAATAAGATAAATATCTGAGTAAAGATTATCAGGAAATTCTTTAAAATTTCTATTTATATTTCTGTCATATTTTTATATAAGAAAATCTACAAAATCTGATAATGTTTAAATATGGCGAATTTATAGATTTGAAATCTAAGAACTTTCTAAAACAGTTTGTGGTTAATATAGAATTTTTTCTCATTTAAAAAATAACATTATTTTTCTTTGTTTTTATCATTCGAATAACAAACGTACTGTACTTTTATTATTAAGTTACAAAATTTTTATTCATTAATATATATTTTTTAATGCCTGAAATAAAATTCTTTATAAATTCATGATTATGAAGTCGGGTGTACTTTTTCATCGTTAAAAACTTCGTTGAATAGAAATTTTGAACTAACAACTTGAAATTTTATGAGTGAACATTATAAATTTTGAAATGTATAATTTTGTAAAAAAATAAAGAAAACATGAATAAAACAAGCAATATTTCATCATTACTATTTATTTAGCAAAGACATGAAAATACAAATTTTTCCACAGATGCTTCTTTTTTCAACCGTCATTTCAAGGTTTGACTTGATTTTTATTATTATTTGTTTTTTTGTTTTTTTTTCTATTTTAGGACAAAGAAGATTATGGAATTTGGCAAAAATCCCCTTTAAAAATGTCAACAGGTGGGGATTAATTTTATAACTAAACGCAACATTTCTCCTTCTTAATCCCAGAATCCTTCTAGGAAAGACAAATTGGTGATTTACCGAATCTCTAGCGTGGATGACTCACAACGGCTGAACAATAAGAGAATGACAGTTTTAGAAGGGGAAACATTACAATTTTCATTGTATAATCGGATTTTAAATTCTTAACTGTGCCTTCTTTGCACTCATTTTTATTCTTTCGTCAATTATGTCCACATTGGCCAATCACAGATAGATCTGAAATTAAATCATGAATATTTGTTTTATTTTCTTCTTCACATATATATATATATATATATATATTTATTTATTTATTTACAATATAAAATATAAATAACACTTTGAAAGTAGATATGTTTATAAAAAATTATTATGTGAAGACCTTTAGTTTTACAATATGTGGCACCACAACACTACAGAGCAGGAACAACAGGCGCCTTTAAACTGAATGGCTTTATAAATAAATCTAATTGAAGTTGAAGTTGGCAAAGTTTAAAGAAAGCTCTCCTCTTTTATTCTTTTCTTCCTTTATCTATTGATAGATTGAATTTTCTTCCACTATATAAGAGCATTTATAGTTGATGAGGTAGACTTTCTATATTGAATTTAGTTATTTGTATTCTAAGCTTTATATGTCATGATTTTGTTTCAGTATCTCTATAATTGACCAATTCGAATCACACATTTAGAAAGACATTTGGTCTCTTCTATCGAGTCCCGTCGTTAATTTTCAAGATGGCGCATATTAACGTCAACTTTTCTTTTCTTGCTTTTCTTCTTTTTTTTCGACGGAATGTATAAGTCTCATCATGATTCTCTCCTTTTAAATTTTATTTTTTGTTGCGAGAAACTGATTCGGACTCGTACAAGGCACAGCTGTCTCTGAGATTTGCATATTGCCCCCTACTCAAGCTTCTTTAAATCATCTCGTTTCTCACTTTTATTTGTTTGTTTTTTATTTCGGAGCACGTACAAGAATACGCGGACACCAAAAATCTTCTCGGTCGTCCTGGATGTAAATTTACAACATTTGTCAGCAACACAAAACAATGACGAGAAGAATCAAGGACGTTGCAAGGAAACTTGAGAGCTGGATTGATTTGTTTGGTGCACCATTTACTGTAAATGAAAAAATATTAATTAAAAAACTATACTTCTAAACACTTAAATAATCAATTTTTATATTACTTTGAATATAATATATTTATTTTATATATTTTTAAAATTAAATTTGTATGTATATTATACTTTTCTCTGTGTGTGAATGATTCTGTTTGCAAACTTTTTGTGGATTTTCTTTGTAAAAAAACTGTAAAATCATAGTAAAATCGCATTAAAATTTCAGTAAAAATCACATTTAAAGCATTATTTAATTTCTAGATAAAATTTTAGTGATTTTCTTTGGTGTAAATAATTTTTTCTTCTTCCTCTTCTTCACCTGATTTGAATTTTTGTATTTTTTTACAATTTTAATTAATTTTTTTAATAAATTCATTATTTATATATATAATAAAATGATGGGATTTTTTGTTTAAAAAATAAATAAATTATATTATAAATTAAATATATAAAAATTTTTGTTTACATTTAACAAATATAAGAAGTGTTTTTATTAAATTCAAAAAAAAGTTTTAGGTTTGAAATCTTATTCTATAAAAATTATTGTGGAATTTCAATTTTCTAAATTAAAATTTACTTTTAAAAACTTATATACTATTTTTTTGAATTATTATTTCATTTTAAAATAAAATTTAAAAATTATTTTTCAATTATTTATCATTTTTTCAAGCATCCTACAACATTTCATATACATAATTCATGTAAATTTGGAAAATTTTATATTATTTAGATGAATTTATAAATGATTCATTCAACAATTCACTTATTTAATAAATTATTATTATTATTNCTCTACTAATTAACAGCATCACATTTTCTAATCAAACTGCAGAATGGACTTGAAGATGAGGAGGAGTTGATTTTGCATCATTGAAAAGGTAGTGGATGATTGCAAACAAACGAAATAAAATGACTTAAGGCAGAAAGAATTCATTTAAATATTTCAATTCCTTTTTATTATTTCTTTTCTGACAGAAGACTTGTCCTAAATTATTTCTTTTAATAATTGAAGGAATAAGTTTAAAGTTGAAAGTGTTCTTTTCAAAAAATAATCTTTAAAACTTACATAAAATCTTCTTAATTTCATCTTTTTAATCTTTAAAATTAATTAAACTTCATTTCCTTAAAAATAATTTAGATTAGTTCTTAAAATGTTAAGAAATTTGAAATATTTAAGGGTGTTCAACAATAAAATAATTCAGTTTTAAATAACTTAAGCCTTTCATGATTTTATTCTTAATGATAAGAATATCAGCAATAAAAATCACTCTTCCTTAATCAACTAGTTAGTTAATTCTCTATTTCATGAATAAAGACATTTGATTTATATTTTCTCTCTATTATTTTTATTATTATTGTTGTTATTCAATTTGAGAATCTCTTACTCTTAATAAACTACACTTCAACATAAATAATCTTTTAAACTTTTATCAAACTTCATTCAACTAAAAATACTTTACAAATTTACAATTTTCAAGGATTTATTATGCAATTCCTTTTTTAAAAAAATTAAATATAAATAAAATATTTATATTTTATTTGGTATATAATTTATTTCAATTGTAAGTTGTTATTGGATGAAGATGAATATTTACAAAATTATTAACAGCATATTAATAATGAGCAATGAAATTTTATGATTTATACAATTTCTATAAAGATGTGATTTTCTGTTTAGGATGGATAAATAATTCGACCAGAGCAAAGTGTGTTAAATATGGAATCTGTCCTAAATGAAAATACATTTCTTAATTATATTTATTCAATATCAAATCATCGAAATAATTCATACGAACCAAGACTTAAACTATAGAGCTGGGCTAGGTAATCTAGCAATAAACAATATGTATAGAATATATAACTTTATTCAAATCATTAAAGTGTTAAAACGCTATTGAATTAATTGAAAATTTTGTTAATTAAATACCATATTATTTAAATTTTATGTAAACATGTTATGTAAACATAATATGTCGGGTTAAAAAAAATTATTTACATTTTCATAAATATTGTCTGAAAATAGTATAATTTTACTGATATGTTTATAGAAATGTTAACAGAATAATGTAAAAATGCTACATGTAAACTTAAAGATAGTTATAATACTAACCCCCTGTAACAAGGTTCTCCTTAGTACAAATAAAGATTTGATATTGATTATTTTTATTCAAGTTAATGCATTAAATATTTACTAAATAATCAATAAACCGATAGAAGTAGTGAATCAAATAAAATATTTGGGAATATATTTTAATTGGAATGGCCAATTTCTCTACCACTTGACTCAACTTAATAGTAAAATAAATTTACTCATAAATAATGTTATTTATTTATCATCAAAATTAAGGATCTCCAATCTAAAAACTCATATGAAAATGTTTAACTCTTTTATTGCTCCAGTATTTTTTTACGCCAGTCCTATATGGGCACTAGATTATTACCAACATCTGGAAAAATTTCAGATTATTTTTTTACGTAAAATACTTCAAGTTGAGCGTACGGTACCAGGATATGCAATCAGATCAGAGTCAAATCGTTACCAACTTTTTCCATTTTTTTTGAAACGTTTATTTAAATTTTATCTTCGAATATTAAATACTGAAGACGACAACATAAAATTTCTATTTCAATTAACAACCAATCAAAATGAAGGTAAATCAATTAATAATGTCTCCTGGTATCAGAAATTTATTAAAATAATACAAGCTTATGGAATATCAGTAATGTTGCTTAACTCATCAGAAGATAATTGCAAATATGCTTATACTTTAATGATGGAATCGGCCTTATCTCAATCTATTGTCAAGGACCAAGATGCTATTTTAAACTCAACATACCACTATTGGTATAAGAATATATTATATTTTCCATCAAAATCGAATATTATTATGACAAATATCAATTTAAATATTAAAAGAACGTTGATACAGATTCGACTTAATTATAAATCTTTACTGATAGACAATTATTATATTGATTTTTCCAAAAAATGTTATTGGTGTAAATCCGAAATCTTTAATATTTACCATATTTTTACCGAATGTCCAAAGATCCTAGAAGCGCAATATAAATATAAAATAAAAGAGATTTTTAATTTAAAACACGAAGAAAATTTTAGATCTAGCTTAAATGAAATTACTTTAAATAAAATGTATAATATTCAAAATTTTTTTGTTTATATTTTAAAAATGTTAAAACAAGATGTTGTGAATTGAGAAATTTATATGTTATGAACTTTGGGTTTTTTATTATGATAACAGATATTTGATAAAGTATGAAAATGTACTAACTTTTTTTGTATGTAACTTTTATTGTAATCCCCCTGTAACAAGATTTTTTCTTAATACAATAAAACATTTGTATAAT